ACGGCTGCGGCGGCGACGACGCCGGCGGCGGCGGCGACGACGACGACGACGACGATGACGACGGCGACGACGACGATGACGACGACGACGATGACGACGACGATGACGACGACGACGACGACGACGACGACGACGACGACGAGGACGACGAGGCTGACGAGGACGACGAGGACGACGAGGACGACGACGACGACGACGACGACGACGACCTCTGAACCACCACAGCACCACACCACATCCACAGGGGGGGGGGGAGGGGGGCACCGCAGTGCAACACCACGCCACGCCCACCTCTGAACCACCACAGAACCACACCACATCCACAGGGGGGGGGGGAACCGCAGCGCAGCACCACGCCACGCCCACAGGGGGGGGCGGGGGGGACCATCGCGCGGGGGGGGGGGCCCAATGGCACCAGCATTGGGGGGGGGGGGGGGCCCAAACCCTGGACCATATATAGATATGTAGATGTGAGCTGTATATGTACTTGTTATATTATGTGGTATCGTATCGCGTTGTTCCCAAACCAGTGCTTGCACTTAGGTTTCTCACTTCTGGTCTACAGAACTGGGCCTGTGTGGCAGTCTGGCGGCTCCGTGCCGGGCGTCGCCGCCCCGTGGCTGCCTCTTCGCCGCCCGTTGTTTGGGCTTGCGTGTCGGTCTGGCGGCTGCGTGCCGACCGTCGCCGCCTCGTCGCCGCCTCGTCGCCGCCCGTCGCCGTTGCTTCGCCGTCGCCGTCGCGATGCGTTGCGTGTACACGTAAATGTACATGTACATGTATGTACATGTATGTGTATATATATGTATGTATGTGTATATATATATATATGTCTATGTATGTATGTGTATATTTCTAGATTCTCCAAGAAGTGCTTGCAGTTAGGGGTTCTTGCTTTTGGCTCTCGGGAACACGGTCGTGTGGCCGTTCTAGCGGCTATGTACTCGCCGTCGCCGCCCCGTCGTTGCTCCGTCGCCGCCCGTCGTCTGGGCCGTGTGGTTGGTCTGGCGGCTATTGCATGGACTCCCCGTCGGATCCCCGTCGCGGCCTCTTCGTCGCCCGTCGTCTTGGTCGTGTCTTCGGTCTGGCGGCTCTGTGGCCGCCGTCGTCGCTGCGTCGCCACCCCGTCGCCGCCTCGTCGCCGCCCGTCGCCGCCGTTGGATTGCACCACGTAGATTGTTCACGTAAGTTGCCCTCATATATTGCATCACATAGGTAACCGTTTTTTTGTTGTTCTCCCCGTCGGCAACGCGCTTTTTATCGCTCGCAAGATATACTTCACTGCGTATCTTGCACAGCGTAGAGTGCACCACACATATTGCACTATATATCGCAGCGCCACATATATTGCACAACGTGTCTATACATATTGCACAACACACTCTGCTAGACACTGTTTGGGGCCCACGCTGGCTACCATATAACATCGTGTGGTAACTTATCGTACTTGATTGTGTGTTTGCGATCAAAGTCTATTCTATGTGGTACGCTTGTACAAATTGTTGTATTAAACGTGATGTGCAAAACGTATTCCCAAACCGTTCTCGCATTTAGGTTTTTGTTAAAGCTTTTCTTCAAGGAACTGGGCCTGGTTGGCGATCTGGCGGCTCCGTGCTCGCCGTCGCCGCCCCGTCGCCGCCCGTCGTCTGTGCTTGGGTGGCCGTCTGACGGCTCCGTGCTCGCCGTCGCCGCCCCGTCGCCGCCTCTTCGCCGCCCGTTGTCTGTGCCGGGGTGGCAGCCTGGCGGCTCGGTGCTCGCCGTCGCCGCCCCGTCGTCGCTGTCGCCGCCCCGTGGCCGCCTCGCATAGATTGCAGGACCGCGTACATTGCACCGCGTAGATAGCACAATATAGACTGCACCACATACATTCCAACGCAAATATTGTAACACATTGATAGCACCACGTATATAACACAACACATACCTCGCACCACACCGATTGCACCACATAAACTGCACAACATAGATCTCACCACATATATTGCACCGCATAGCTTGCACCACATAGATTGCACCACATAGCTTGCATACTGCCCCGCGTAAATTGCACCATAGTGCACACCGTGGATGGGACACCATAGATCGCATTACATAGGTTTGTTGCAACACATCGGTTGCACCCCACATATTGCGCCACACCACATATACTGCTCTACATAGATTGCACAGCAACGATTGCTATAACACACACACACTGTTTGTGCTCACGCTGGCTAGCATACACCTGTACAGTTATGATCATACATATATGTATGCATGTATGCATACACACGTGTGTATGTATGTATGTATGTATGTATGTATGTATGTATGTATGTATGTATGTATGTATGCATGTGTGTATACATATGTTTGCTTGTGTGTATGTATGTATGTATGCATGCATGCATGCATGTATGCATGCATGCATGTATATGTATGTATGTATGTATGTATGTATGTATGCACGCATGTATGTATGTATGTATGTAGTAGGTAGGTAGGTAGGTAGGTAGGTAGGTAGGTAGGTAGGTAGGTAGGTATGTATGTATGTATGTACGTACGTATGTATGTATGTATGTATGTATACATATAGATATATAATAACACATATATATATATGTATAAACACATTTTATATGTAATACGTCTTATATATATATATATTATAGTCCTGGGCCCGAAAACAGCTGCCTCGACCCTCCATGGCGGGACCGGGGCCCCGGACTGCTTCCAAGACCCCCTTGTGAAGATCTTGGCCGACCCCTGAACGGGCGGAAAGGGCCCCAAGAGGGCGCAAGGAGGCCCAAGAGGGCCCCAGAGCCGTCGAACGATGCATTCAAATTGCCCCGGATGGCCTTCAGACGGCTCAAGAAGCCTTGGATACCCTCCGAGAGAGCCCCACGACTGTTCCCAAGAGGGCGCCAACAGGAAACAAAACATTGATTTTCGGTTGTTCTGTAGATGTTTTCTGTTTTTTTTCGCCTGTTCGAGTTTCCGACGCTTCAAGACGGTCCGAGAGGCCCCCAAAACCGCCCCAAGACGGCCCAAGAGACCCCCAAGACCGCCCCACGCCGGCCCAAGAGGGCTCCGAGACGGCCCAAGAGGCGCCCAACACGGCCCAAGAGGGCCCGAGGACGGTCCCAAGAGGGGCCCCAGAGGGGGGGCACGGAGCGACAACCCGAGGCTTCCGCCCCAAGAGGCTTCCAGGTGGGCCCAGGAGGGCCCAAGAGTCCCGCAAGAGGCCCCAAGAGGGCTCCAAGAGGCCCCCAGTAGGCCCAGAAGACACTCCAAAACGGCCGCCGAGAGGCGCCCAAAAGGGCCCCGAGAGTAGGAGTAGCAGTAGTAGTAGGAGGAGGAGGAGGAGGAGGAGGAGGAAGAGGAGGAGGGGGGAGGAGGAGGAGGAGGAGGAGGAGGAGGAGGAGGAGGAGGAGGGAGAGGAGGAGGAGGAGGAGGAGGAGGAGGAGGAGGAGGAGGAGGAAGAGGAGGAGGAGCAGAAGGAGGAGGAGGGGGAGGAGGAGGAGGAGGAGTAGGAGAAGCAGGAGAAGTAGGAGGAGGAGGTGGAGGAGGAGGAGGCGGAAGAGTAGAAAGAGGAGGAAGATGAGGAGGAGGACGAGGAAAGCAGGAAGGGAAGGAGGAAGACACAGAGAAGGAGAGAGAAGAGGAGGAGGAGTGGACGAGGTGGAAGGCGGTGCGAAGGAGGGGGACGAGGACATGGCGATTAAGGAGGTGGAACAGCGTCGGCACAAGACGACAAATTGAAACCGAAGGCAGGACGTCCCGTTGGTCGTTGTCACCGTTGTCGCAGCTGTTTTCTGCGTCGTCGTCGTCGTGGACACCCTCCTTTTCATTCCAAGCCGAATTTGCAATCGGGAATGCCCGCGCTCGAAACTAAGCGCGCGCGTGGCTCTTGTATGTATGTATGCGTATACACACATACATCTGTGGACATCACATATCATACCATCTTCCCCAACTAGTGCCTGTACCTACCTAGGGCCCCCCCCGTTGCAACCGAATTCTTGCAGTCCAATCGATTTCAACCCAGTCGACTGCACTGGGTTGGGCATGCCCGTTTGCGGCCCCGTTCCCGCCCGTCGAACGCCGCACCGTTGCCCCCCCCCGTTGCATTGCAATCGTACTGCGTTGCAGCCACTTTGCGTTCCTCCTCGTCCTCTTCGTTCTCCTCCTCCTCCTCCTCCTGCTCTTCCTCCTCCTCCTCCTTCTGGTTCTTCTCCTCCTCCTCCTCCTCCTCCTCATTCTCGCAATGGAATTTCATTGCGTTGCAATCGCGTTGCGTTGCATGGCGCTCGCATGGCACTCGCATTGCACTGCGCTGCCTTGCCTGAGTCTGCAATGCTTGGCGTCGCACACCTCTGTTTTGCATGGTTATGCATATTGATTCTGCTTTGCGCTGATTTGTATTCCATTGCATGGATTGCGTTGTTTCGCGCTGCTTCTCATTGCTTTGTGTTGCGTTGCGTTGATTTGCGTTATGTTGCATTGCTTCGAATTGATTTGCGTTGTTTTGCATTGCTTGCATTACTGGCAAAACCTTGCATTGCATTGCTTTGCGTTGCGTCACTTTGCGCTTCTTATTTCGTTGCATTTTTTGCGTTGCGTTGCATTATGTTGCATTGCATTGCGTTGCCTTTGCGTTGCGTTTCATTACTTTGCATTGTTTTGTCTGGCTTTGTTTTGCGTTGCGTTGGTACGCGCTGCGTTGCATTATGTTGCATCACCTTTCGTTACTATGCGTTGCATCGCATTGCGTTGCTTTGCATTGCTTTGGGCTGCTTTGCGCCAGATATGTATCGTCACATGGATTATATTCTAGACTGCGCCGCGTACGTTCAAGAGATCGCTGTTTATGGTCCACACTGGCTGACGTATTGTAGATCTAGCAGCATTGCGAGTGAGATCGGGAGAGAAGGCTACTAGCGGCAGTCGCCAGAGCAGGACGGCTGCAGGGGGCGATGTCGAGGGGAGGAGTATCCTTGCGCGGAACACTGGTGAATCCCCAGGCCCTCACGGCCCTGCCGGAGAGAGCCGCCGAGAAGGCGGGCTACGTCAAAGAGGAGGACAGGGACGACGTGCAGACTTGGATCCTGCTGCTGCTGGAGGTGAAGGCCTCGGCGGGCCCTGGCCGACCAGGGGGCCCCGGCCCGCCGAACGGCTGCGCGTGAACGGTCGGGAACTCCTCCTCCTCCTCCTCCTCCTCCTCCTCCTCCTCCTCCCCCTCCTCCTCCCCCCTCCTCCTCCCCCTCCTCCTCCCCCTCCCCCTCCTCCCCCTCCTCCTCCTCCCCCTCCTCCCCCTCCTCCTCCTTCTCTCCTCCTCCTCCTCCCTCCTCCTCCTCCTCCTGCTGACCGCCTGGTGCTACGTGCCGTCGCCGTCGCCGTCGTCGTCGTCGTCCTCCTCGGCCAGCCGCGCCCCTGTTGGGTGCGGGGGCGACGTGCCAGGCCTTGGCCAGGCCTTCCCTTGGCATCGCTCGGACGTGTGCGTTTTTCCTTCGGCGAGGGCCATCGAGGAGCATCCTTGATCATTTGGCGAAAAAAAAACGCACGAAACCGACAAAAAACGCAGGGAATGGACGTCCGAGCGATGGCGAGTTCCTGCACATCAGTTCCGGGCCCATGGGGAGCCTGGCAAGGACCACTGCCAGTGCACAGCTGGCGGCCCCTCGCTGGCCGTACACGAAGCTGCGCGTGAGCGACCCCGCGCCCGCTTCCCGCTTCCCTCGACCTCTCTCACACTCCCCCTCCTCTTTCTCGTCACTGCATTTTCCCCCTTCCTCCTTTTAGGCACACGCAACCCCAAAAGGCCAGGGTACCGAAGGCCACAACCGCAGCGGCGAGACCCATGAGCCACCATCACCGCTCCAACGCGGCGGGCCACATGTGAATTCAGTACTTCTTAGACATTTGCATGAGCGCGGCACCTGTTCAAGGGGGCTGGTTTGCATGCCGCTTCCACCATGTGCACGTAATATCCACCAAACGGTGCTTGCATTTAGGGTTTCTTGCTTTTGTCATACGGGATCCGGCCGTGTGTTCGGTCTGGCGGCTATGATGCCGCCGTCGCCGCCCCGTCGCCGCGCCTCATCGCCGCCCGTCGTCTGGGCCGAGTCTTTGGTCTGGCGGCTATGTGGCCGCCGCCGCTGCCCCAGATATTGCACAATATATGTGTATGTGTATATGTATGTATGTATGTATGTATGTATGTATGTATGTATGTACGTACGTACGTACGTACGTACGTATGTATGTATGTATGTATGTATGTATGTATGTATGTATGTATGTATGTATATATGTATATATGTATATATATATATATATATATAGATGTACATTGTGCACACCAGATATTGCACAGCATAGATTTTCCCTTCCATAAAAAGAACGGACTCTACCCCCCCCCCGGCGTTGTCGGTTTCTCTTTCGGGTATGTAAATCATATATGATTCTGACCACATGTCCATCCTAAATATGAATTTACACTATCCCGGGGGGGCCGGTATCGCTCCCCCTGAGGCTCCCTCGTAAAAAACAGGTTCCCTCGTAAAAAACAATACGCGGGGACATTTTTTGTTCTAACATACGACTTTTTCACGAATCCCTTACAACACATGGGACGATGTGCACACGTGCGCGTCGTCGCGCGCGCATGCCGCCTTCGGTGTCGGAAGGATTTCGCAATCGAGTTTCCAACAAACATACAACAACACAGGGTTTCGCAACACTGATTTGCTAAAAAAGCTTACGCGCGAGCTCTTGCGAAATCTTAATAAAACATAGGATTTTCAAGATTTACACAAAACGCTACCAGACGGGCTTCGCGCGCGCGCATGTCGAAATCAGTCGAACGCCCTTGCGCGTGTGCCGTCGCGAGAAACCTCTGCAAAAAAATGGGACGAGGTGCAGACGCGCGCGTCGTCGCGCGCGTATGCCGAAATCCTTCAAAACCCATTGGTTTCAGAAGGATTTCAAAATCGTGTGTCAAAAAAACATGCAGAAACACAAAGTTTCAACAAAGGCGTGCGCGCGCGCTCTTGCGTCGTCGTCGTCGTCGTCGTCGTCGCCGTCCTCCCTCCTCCCGCGTTGTCGTCGTCGTCGTCGTCGTCGCCTACGTCGTCCTCTGTCTTTCCTCGTGTTCGTCGTCGTCGTCGTCCTCTTCGGCGTCGTCGATGTTGTCGTCGTCGTCGTCGTTGTCGTGGTCGTCGAAGTCGTTGGAGATTCGTCCGCAACGTCTACCGTTGTTGACGTTTCCATGATACCGCGCCCGCCCAAGTCGCCGGCACGCAATGAAGTGCTGGTATGTACCCAACGATCAGCGCCACCGCGGCCGCGTCGGTCGCGCCAAACCAGCCGGTCGCTGCGCGTGCGTGCTTGGGTTGGCGCGGCCGCAGAGACGCACCAGCCAACGCCGAGCATGCATCGCAATCGCCAGCTTATGGGTTTTGCAAGCCAAATCACGGGTGGGTGGGTGGGATATTTGCAAGAGCGCGGGATGTGTCAACTCGTTTGTTAAAATCAATTTCACCACATAGCTTGTACCACATAGATTACGCACTACGTAGATTGCACGTCGTACGTCGCACCACATTGATTGTGAAAGTGAGAGTGGGAGAGATTGCATCACACAGGCGTCACCACATACATTGCATCACCCATTGCACAGCATAGATAGCATACCATTTGTTTCATAGAAAAAGGTTGCACCACACATACTGCACCATTTATATAGCTCCACGTATATGACACAACATATATTCTCCTTCCTAAGAAAAGAATAGACTCTACCCCCCCCGGACTTACCGCTTCCCCCTGGGGTAGTATAATTTCATATATATATATATATTCTGCACTCGTCCATCCTAAATATGAAATCGTACCATCCCAGGCAGGCTGGTTCCCCCCCCCCCGGAGGTTCCTTTGTAAACAAACACTATGCGGTGACATTTTTTGTTCTAACATAGCACTTTTTCACGAATCTCTGGCAACAAATGGGACGAAGTGCGCACGCGCGCGTCGTCGCGCGCGCATGCCGAAATCCTTCAAAAACCTTCGGTGCCGGAAGGATTTCGCAATCGAGTTTCCAAACACAACAAAAAAACACATGGTTTCGCAACACCGATTTGCTAAAAAACTTCCGCGCGAGCTCTTGCGAAATCTTCAGAAAACCAGAGGTTTTTCAAGATTTTCACAAAATGCTACCAAACGGGCTTCGCGCGCGCATGTCGAAATCTGTCGGACGCCGTTGCGCGTGTGCCGTCGCGAGAACCCTCTGCAAAAAATGGGACGAAGTGCAGACGCGCGCGTCGTCGCGGGCGTATGCCGAGAACCTTCAACACCCATCGGTTTCGGAAGGATTTCAAAATAGTGCGTCCAAAAAACCTACAAAAACCCAAGGTTTCGCAACACGGATTTTCAACAAAAGCGTGCGCGCGCGCTTTTGCGTCGTCGTCGTCGTCGTCGTCGTCGCCGTCCTCCCTCCTCCCGCTTCGTCGTCGTCGTCGCCTACGTCGTCCTCTGTCTTTTCTCGTGTTCGTCGTCGTCGTCCTCTTTGGCGTCGTGGTCGTTTCCATCGTCGTTGTCGCCGTGGTCGTCCTTCCTCCTCCTCCCACGTCGTCGTCGGCGTCCGTCGTCGGCGTCTCGTCGTCGTCCCTCCTATTTCGTCGCCGTCGTCGTCGTCGTTGTCGTCGTCGTCTTCTCTCCTCCCTCGTCGTTGTCGTCGTCGGCGTCGCCGTCCTTCCTCCTTCGTCGTCGTTCGCGTCGTCGCCGTCCTCCCTCCTCCCTCGTCGTTGTCGTCGTTGTCGTCGTTGTCGCCGTCGTCGTTCTTCCTCCTCCCTCGTCGTCGCCATCGTTAGCGTCGTCGTCGTCGTCTTTGTCGTCGTCGGCGTCGGCATCGGTGTCGTCGTCGAAGTCGTCGGAGACGTCGTCGGTGTCGTCCTAGTCGTTGTCGTCGGTGTCGTCGTAGTCGGTCTTAACAGGTTTTGCAAACCATGTTGCGGGTGGGTGGGTGGGATGTTTTCGCGAGCAGTGGAGAGGACAGCTTCAAGACAGTCAAAGTGGATTGCACCTCATAGATCGCACCACATATATTAGACAACATTGGTTGCACAACCTAGATTGCACCACCTAGACTGCTCCACACATATTGTATCACATACGTTGCACAACATACATTGCAATACGTTTTGCCCCACGCATATTACATAATATGTCTTGCACAACATCTGTTGCACAACATGTATTGCTTCACATTGGTTGGTTCCCATAGGTGGTAACACATCGAGCGCTCACCACATAGAGTGCACAACATTGATTGTACACCATACCTTGCTCAACATATATTGACCACATATCTTGCACCACATGTATTGGTCCACGTATCTTGCACAACATACATGTCACCTCATAGGTCTCACCACTCTCACTGCACAAGGTAGGTTGCACAACATAGGTTGCACAACATATATTCTCCTTTCTAAAAGAAGAATAGACTCTACCCCCACTGGAGTTAACGATCCCCCTGGGGTATTGTGTATTTATTCTGCACACTCGTCCATCCTAAATTTAAATCCACACTACCCCAGCCAAACCGGTATCACTCCCCCCGCCATCCTCTGCAACAAATACTATGCGCGCGCGCTCGTTTATCAAACATCAGAAGTTTTCAAGAATCCCTTGCACAAAATGGGACGAAGTGCACAGGCGCGCGTCGTCGCGCGCGCATGCCGAAATCCTTCAAGAACCTTCGGTTTCGGAAGGATTTCAAATCGAGTATCCAAAAACAAACCAAAACACAGGGTTTCGCAACACTGATTTTCTAAAGAACTTACGCGCGCGCTCTTGCGAAATCTTAAGATAACCTATGTTTTTCAACATTTTTAAAAATACAACCAAACAGGCTTCGCGCGCGCATGTCGATATCTTTCGCCCTTGCGCGCGTGCCGTCGCGAGAATCCTCTTGCAAAAAATTGGACGAAGTGCAGACGCGCGCGTCGTCGCGCGCGCATGCCGAAATCCTGCAAAAACCTTCGGTTTCGGAAGGATCTCAAAATCGTGTATCCGAAAAACAAACAAAAGCACAAGGTTTTACAACACGGATTTTCAACAAAAGCGTGCACGCGCGCTCTTGCGTCGTCGTCGTCGTCGCCGTCCTCCCTCCTCCCTCTTCGTCGTCGTCGTCGTCGTCGCCGTCGTCCTCTGTCTTTCCTCGTCGTCGTCGTCTTGGCGTCGTCGTCATTTCCGTCGTCGTTGTCGCCGTGGTCGTCCTTCCTCCCTCGTCGTCTTCGTCGGCGTTTCGTCGTTGCCCCTCGTATTTCGTCGCCGTCGTTGTCGTCGCCGTCGTCGTCGTCTTCCCTCCTCCCTCGTCGTTGTCGTCGTCGCCGTCGTCGTCCTCCCTCCTCCCTCGTCGTCGTCGTCTTCGTTGGCGACGTCGTCGTCGTCGTCGGTGTCGTCGTCGTCGTCGGCGTCGTCGTCGTCGTCGGCGGTGGCGTCGTCGTCGTCGGCGTTGTCATCGTCGTCGTCGTCGTCAGCGTCGGCGTCGTCGTCGTCGTCGTCGGTGTTGTCGTCGTCGTCGTCGTCGTCGTTGTCGTCGTCGTCGTCGTCGTCGTCGTCGTCGTCGTCGTCGAAGTCGTTGGAGACGTCGTCGGTGTCGTCGTAGTCGTTGGCGTCGGCGGCGGCGGCGTCGTCGTCGTCGTTGTCGCTGTCGTCGTCGGCGTCGGTGTCGTTGCCAGGTGCCATTTGGTACCCACCGTCACGGTCTTGAGAGGTCTTGCGACCAAGTTACGGGTGGGAGGGTGGAATGTTTGCACGAGCAGTAGAGAGGACAGCTTCAGGACAGTCAAAGTGAATTGCACAACATAGATTGATGGATTGATTGCACAAGATTGATTGCGCAGTAAAGAGCAAGTGATTGATTGCGCAACATGGACTGCACACATATTGCTCCAAGTAGACTTCACATCGTATGCGGCTGGAACACACTGTTTGGGGTCCAGCCTGGCTGGCATGATTCTCTGGGCCTTGCATGCTCGGGAAGTGTTGCATTACACCCTCTGCACGCATGCAGCTTTTTGTAAAGTGCGCTCGCAGAGCGGGAACTACGGCGGCCCCCTCTCAGGAAACTTGCCCGCCAATGTGGTACCCTTGGGGGTCCGGGGGGCTCCCTGTGAGCCCTCTTGGGGCCGTCTTTGAGGCATCTTGGGCCCCTCCTGAGGGCTTGGGGACCGTCTTGGGCCGTCCAGGGCCGTCACGGAGGCATCTTGGGGACCTCTTGGGGACCTCTTGGGGGCCGATTGGGGGCTTCTTGGGCATTCCTTCCCCCTCCTCTCCCCTGTCTGTTTCTCGCCTCTCCTCTCCCGTTCGGTTTCGTATCCTATCCTTTCCTCTCCCTTCTCTCTGTCCTCCTCATTTACCCGAGCGTGGCGCAGTGCAGCGTAGTCTTCCTACTTCTCGCCTCCACTCTCCTTTCCCTGCCTCTCCGCATTCCGCTCCGGAGAGCACACCGAGGTTCTGATGCTTCCCCAGATATACGACGCCATAGCGGCATCTCGCGACGAGGCCATGTACCAGGCCTGCGTCAACCCCTTGCCGCAGCAGCCCTCCTAGTCCCCTCCCCCTCCAGCCCCTCTCCATCTCCATCCCCTCTCGTTTCCTCTCCGTCCCTCTCCCCTCCTTCCCTCTCTCCCCCTCCTCTCATCTCTTGCCCTCCCCCCTGTTCCTGTACCCCTTCCATTCCCCTCTCCTTCTCTCCCTCCCCTCTCATCCCTCCCTGTCCTCCTCTCTTCCTCTCCTTCTCAATCTTTCTCCCCTCCCTTCCCCAGCGGAAAAGGGCTCAGAACATATGTAAGACCACGGTGGAGCAGGCACAGCGATACTTTGAGGAGACTACTGACGGCAGCTCATGTGTGCTGGGCCTCTTGTGGATCGCTGAAGAGAGGGAGCAAGCTCACCCCCGTTCAGATCAGTCTACGAGGAGGAGGAGAAGGAGGAGAAGGGTTTCATCAGCGATCCCATGAGGGCGACATCGATTCTACAAAACGAAGGCTCCATCCGTCGACGAACACGGCGAGCATGACGAGGACCGCGATGCCGAAGAGGAAGAAGGTTAGGGGGAAGACGGCCCGACCTGGCATCACCGCTCACGGGGAGGAGGAGGGGGAGGAGGAGGAGGAGGCGGATGAGGAGGAGGGCCAGTGTAAACCCAAGACTCATCAACCATGTTGGGATCCGGTTGACAATCCTGAACCGTGCCAAAGCAACGCTCCTGGGACTTCAACGCCACGAATCAACTTTACTGTTGCGTCTTGACGATCCTGGATCGTGCCAGAACACCATTCCTGGAACTTCAGCACCGCGAATCAGCGTGACTGTTTCGCCCTGGCAGTCCCACATCGTTCCAAAACACCACTTAATTGGACATTAGCAATGTTAATAATCCTTGAAGCTATGGCAAACTCTTTAGACGTATGTGCGCGGCGCTAAGGCGAGAGCCACATGTTGAAAAGGTGCCACCCTCCATCCGTGAAGCAGCACACTTTTTAGACGAAGGTGCGCGGCACTAGGGTGAGGGCCACATTTTGGACAGGAGCCGCCCTCCACCAATGAAGCTCATGCAAATGTTTAAAGCGAGTGTGCGCGGCGCCAAGGCGAGAGCCACATTTTGAACACGGCCCGCCTTCCATCTCTGCAGAGTTTTTTAAGTCGAAGGTGCGCGGCGCCAAGGGCCATAGCTTCATTTTGACAGCGGCCCGCCCTCCATCCGCGAAGCTGGTGCAAGTTCCAAGCTTAAGGGCCACCCACGGTGAGGAAGTCTCAGGCCACCCGCCCGCACCACCGACACGCCTCGGGGTGCGCAGGGAGGAGCTGCCGATGAGGAACGGAGATGGCATGGAGGAGGAGGAGGGCGGGGGGAGGAAGGAGAGCCCCGGCCGTGCAGAGCGTGTCCGCGAGGGCGTCGTGGCCAAAAGCCGCGAGCACTCGGCCTCCCGCCTGGTCCTCGTGTGCGGCGCCGCCCACTCGAATGGCATCCTGCAGCGCCTGCGCGCGCGGGGCTTCTGAGGGGCCAGCGAAAAAGAGGCCGCCCTTCCCTTCTCCTTCTCCCGCTCCCCTCCCCCCCCCGTCGCTCCCATCTCTTC